CCGTCCTACCCAGAAGATGTCCCTAGGACACCAATACACCGTCCTACCCAGAAGATGTCCCTAGGACACCAATACACCGTCCTACCCAGAAGATGCTAGTCTTTCTGTCACTTTTCCTGGCTTCACCTGTCCCACAGCCCCGTCACCTCACCCAGAGCACAGGGCTGGTGAACGAATGGGCCGCACACAGCTGGCCGCTGCCTCCCCCACCCCCCAGGCTCCTCAGTCTTCCTGGACAGGAGGTCACAGGGCAGGGCCTACGAACAGCACGTGGACAAGGGTCACTGACCCTTAGCAGTCAGTTCCCTCAGCCGAGGGAGGGCTGCTGTCAAGTGGGGGTGCAGGCAACGTGCTAATACAGACAAATGGGGCCTGCCACTGTCGACCCTGCCCTCCCAGCTCCTCGTGCAGGACCACACATAGCAGGTACTTAACAACTGCCGAAGCAGCCTAGCTCAAGGCCCCTGGGGCCTCTGGCTGGACAGCAGACTGTGGGAGAGGGCTGCCTGCCCCCTGGGGACGGAAGGTTAAGCCGCAATGGCCCACCCTGCACATTCCTTCTCAGCATGATTTCAACTAGTTTTCTGGGTCTGCTTTGGGGTCCAGGAGGACTCGGGGCTGGGAGCCAGGCGGCTATGCCTCTGGTTGCTCAGGGTGAAGTGAGGTCTGTGGGGGTGTTAGGTGCTGGGACCCTCGCTTCCGGACACAGGTCTGGGTGCTGATGGAGGAAATGGGCCCCAGCGCCCTCCTTCTTCAACCACACAGCTCTGGCTGCTGGAGCGGGGGGGCTCATCTGGAGCGTGTCACTCACAGCTGGTCGCAGGGCAGTGGGTGGTCGGGGGCCTCCAGGTCCAGGCTGGGCTCGCTCACAAAGACGTCCCCCTTGCAGGTGACAGACCAGATGGCCTGGGGGGAGGGGCGGCCGTGCACCCTCCGGCTCTCACAACAGGACAGGCTGAGCAGGGCTAGCTGGGGGAACGGGACACAGTCAGTACTGGCCGGAGCCAGGGCAGGTCGGACTGGACGGGCCTCCTGCCCACCCACTCACCCAGTCGTTCATTTCCTGCTCGGTGGCGGCGGCCAGGCGTGCAGGCCACCTCTGCCGGGTCCTCTCGGGCGTGTACAGGGCGAAGGAGTGCTTGGCCTCATTCAGGACAGGCACCAGCACCGTCACCTCGTTGAGGAACAGGTGGATGTACTGTCCAAAGAGTGGGTGTCACAGAGGAATGAGGGATGCCGCTGGGCAGCACGGCCAAGCTCCCCATTGGGGCGTGAGGATGCCCCCCCTCAGGGGACAGCCAGGGACTGATTCTACAGAGCTCGTCCCAGGGGCCTCCTGTGGCTCTGCTTGTGGGCTAAGGGGCCAAGTTCTGTCATGGAGACGTTTGTGATGAATAAAGGCTGTATTTACATGTTGCTGGAAGAAGCCCTGGTGGTGCAATGGGTAAGTGCTTGGCTGCTGTGAGGTCAACAGTTCGAGCTCACCAGTTGCTCCACAGAGATAGATGAGGCAGTCAGCTTCCACAAAAATTACAGCCTTGGGAACTCCGTTGGGCAGCTCTATTGTGTCCTCTAGGGGCGCTGTGAGTCGGAACTGACTCTACGGCAGTGGGTATGATTTGGGCTTTGCTTCCATGAAGACTGACAACCTTGGAAACCCTCTGGGGCAATTCCACTCTGTCCTCTAGGGGCGCTGTGAGTTGGAACAGACTCCACAGCAGTGGGTGTGGTTTGGGCTTTGCTTCTATAAAAACTGACAGCCTTGGAAACCCTGTGGGGCAGTTCCACTCTGTCCTCTAGGGGCGCTGTGAGTTAGAACATAGCAGTGGTTTCAGGGATGGGTTGTTGCTAGTTGTAGTATTTACATATTAAGGGTATGCTTTTTGAGTTGCTTTAGGCACTCTGGAATAGAGTGTTGTAGGTTCAAGCCCAGCCAGCCTCCCACTTGCTGCGTGTGAGGGGACAGGCTGTCTCTCATGCTGCCTAGTTTCTCAGCTGAAAAGCAGAGCCCAGCAAACTGCTGCTGGAAGCAGGGAGAAAACCCTGTGAGGGCTCTAGAAGGGCCGCACACAGAGGCCACCATGGAAGGGGCTGCAGCCACCCAGGGGAAGGCACAGAGGCCACCATGGAGGGGGACAGTGGCCATCAGTGGCTGGAGTGTACTTTCTAAGCCTGCACTGATGGAAGGGGCTGCAGCCACCACAGGGGAAGGCACAGAGGCCACCATGGAGGGGGACAGTGGCCATCAGTCGCTGGAGTGTACTTTCTAAGCCTGCACTGAGCACCTCCAGATCCAGCATTCCCGCCCCGCTGCTCTGACCTTCCATGCACCCCCTCTCCCAGCCTGACTGCCCGCCCCCAGTGCTGCCGCACACCTTTTTCTCCTCGTGGAGCACGTAGTAGATGAACAGGATGCTGTCCCGTGTGCCGTCATGACCGGTGAACTGCTCCAGGGCCACACGCACGTCCACCCACTTGTGGGGCTTCCAGTCACACCACCACTGCAGTGTCCCCGTCTTCACCCACACCGACTGGACACGGGGTAGTCACAGGCAGGCCTTGGCGTCCTGTCCCCACAGACTCAACCCCAGAACCACCCTGGCCCCCTCCACCAGAGGCTCTGTGAGGAGGCCTGGCAGCCTCTGTGGGGGCTGTCACGAGGCCTTGACCCTCCCTCCATTTCCCAGTCACAACCCATCATGAGTGTTAGGCCCTAAGCCATTCAACACAGCTCCAGCCCCATGTTCCACATAGGGAAACTGAGGCTCGGGAAGCCCCTACGCTGTGCTCAGAGTCAGAGTGAGTCAATGGCAAAGCTAGGACCCTAGCCCGGGCGCCCCCCCTAGCCCGGGCACTGTGCTCGGCCCAGCACGGCCAGGGCACCCACAGCCCACGCCCCGTGACATCAGCTGTACCCTTCACATAACTCTTCCGTCTCCCCAGCTTAGCCGTGGGCCCTCCAAAGGACCGGGCATGGACAGCCTGGGGCGGGGCACCCAGGGTTCTGTCCGACCCGGGCGGGCACTCAGGCTGTGTGCTCTGTGGCGGAAGGACTGTAAGCCCTGCCCTGCGCAAGCCCTGCCCACTCCCCGTAGGAGGCTGCGGTCCGGCTAACAGGGCCACGCAGACCGGACGGCTCCATGGGGCCTGAACTAAAGCTGTTTAGGAAGACTTCAACCCTGAGTCCACCCACACAGCCTGGATGAGGTCCACCTCCCACACCTGTGGGGCACCTGGACGGGGTCCATCTCCCACCCCCACAGAGGGCCTGGACGGGGTTCAGCTCCCAGCTCCCGGAGGGCGGGTATACAGCAGGCGCTCGGTGGCCGCCTGCGGGGGCTGCGCCGCGCACGCGCACCTGCTCCACCGCCTGCTCGTAGTGGCGGAAGTTCTCCAGCTCGCGCTTGGTCCGCTCGGTGAGCTGCTGGAGAATCTGCTTCCTCCAGGCGGCGGTCTGGGCCGGCGTCACAGGCGGGGCCAGCGTCTGCACGGCGGAGGACAGGCCTGCAGGCCCGCCCGGGCCTCAGCGCCATGTTCGGTGATCCCTGGACCACTCCCCAGCCTCGCCCAGGTAGGCGGAGACCACAGCCATCTTTAATTTTGTGTATTTTTATGAAGTCACCTCTTTCTTGCTCGAAGGCTGGGACCTCCGAAAACAGCCTCACGAGCCCTCTACACTCACCCTGACGGGCAGGGGCGTTCGGCTGGAGTCTGAGGGCTGTGGGAAGGCTGGGGACTCGGGGTCGTGGAGGATGGGCAGTTGGGCGCGGGGGAGAGACCCGCAGCACAGTGGGGTCTCCTCAGACCCCATGGGACGGATGTGCCCCACCCCCAGCCCCGCCACTGTGGGCACGTCTTCTTGCCCCAGCCTCTGGGTCCCGGCCGCCACTTACCCACCGGAGCCGAGAACCACTTGAGTGTCGTGTGGGTCTCCACAGTGCAGCCTCCTCCGGACACCCAGGCCCACAGTGGGTGGTCGTCGGCCCCGTAGGGCTCCTCCAGGCCCAGTGGCAGCAGCCCCAGGGAGGAGAGGCCGGGGGGCTCGGGCAGCCCGGGTGCCGCGCGGCCGGGCGCCTTCCGGGGCTCCTTCAGGTCGATGTTGGTCCAGGGCAGCTCCGCCGGGGTGGAGGCCGGGCTGGAGGCCTCCTCACCTGGGCCCTCGGCCTGGCCAGTCTTTTCGGCTGCCCCTGCTGCGGGCCTGTCAGGCCCTGGTGCCAAGGCCGGGCTGCCCTTATGGGAGCTCTCCGTGCTGTCCAGAGAGTCTGCGGGGCGAGGCTGGTCAGGCCCTGGTCGGTCCAGTTCTGAGGACGTGTCGGTGTCGCTGGGGGCAGGGGACTCACCACTGGCTCTCACCTCATCGCCAAAGAAGCAGCCTGCGCTGGGGACAGAATAGGCAGGCCCGCCACTGGGTCACTGCAGGAACCCTCCCTCGGTGCCACTCCTCCCCCAACCATGTGGGTGACCTTGGGGCCACCGCTTCTTCCAGCTCATTCCTCCTCTGTTGGGCCTGCCTCCTGGGGAGCGGAAACCCCAGGGACATCAGTCCCCAGACCAATCGGTGCCTGGGGGGCAGGGAGCTGACACCCATTATCACTTTCTTTGTTGTTTGGAATCTGTTTGCTGGGTAAACTCCCTCAAATCACAATAAAAATTAAACAATAACCAAAAAGGCAGAACCTCGACCCTGCCCAGACCTGCTACCTCAAACTGCCATTCATAAACACTGGGCCACCAGTGGGTCGTGAAGTCAGTCCTGTTGTCTGATGCTGCGCAGCCGGTTCCGACCCACGGGGACCCTGTGCGGGCAAAGCAGCTCTGCTCCAGGAGGCTCTCAAGGCTGTGACCTCTCAGAAACAAATCGATTGCCAAGCCTGTCATCCGAGGTGCCTCTGGCTGGATTTGAACTGCCAACCTCTCAGTTTGTAGTCTAGCTCTTAAACTTAAAAATAAATTTTTTTTTTAGCTTTTGATTGTGATTTGGGTGAAAGTTGACAAAACAAATTGGTTTTCACTCAACAATTCACACACATTCTGTTTCATGACACTGACTGCAATTCCCACAATGCAACAGCACTGTCTCCCCTTCCTCCGTTTCTCCCGCTTCCTTCAGCCTTCTTTCCTATCCCTTCCGGAGTTTGGAGCTTTGTTGTTGTATGTGCTGGTTGGACCTGACTCATAGCGACCCCTCCTTGGGTTTCTGAGGCAGTATCTCTACGGAAGTACGTTGCCAAACCTTCCTTCTGAGGAGTGGGTGGTGGGTTTGAACCGCCAGCCTTCTGGTTAGCAAGCAGTCGAGTGCCTTAGGCACTACGCTAACAACAACATGTTGATTGTTCTGAGGAGTGCTATCTCCCTGATGTCACTGTTCACCTTTGTTGACCTATTGTTCGGCTGAAAGTTTAGCCCTGGCGGTGAGTTTGGTTCACCTCTTGAAGGGTACAGCGCTTCAACTTTCGGGCCACCTGGACTCTAGACTTGCTGAATTGGAAACCCTGGGGGAAGGCCTGGGCACCTGGTCTGAACAAGCGTCCAGGTGACTGGTGTGTGCTGTAGCCTAGAGACCCTCTACCATCTTCCCTGCTTTCCTGTGATAGGGGGCCTCAGTGAGACTTAAGAGTGCTGGGGCAGCCCAGGGCACCCCCTTGGGCTCTACCACAGACCTCACAGGTCGCCTTCCCCTCCCCCTCCCCCTCCTGAGCCCTCCCTCCCCACCGCTCAGCCCACAGCCTGGCTGTGGCTAAAAGCCTGGACTGCCGGACTCCATCCACACCACCCCTCGCTCCCTCCTGGGGGCTGAGGTGCAGGAGGTTCAGGTGGGGCGGCTGTGCATCGCTAAGTCGGTTTTCTACTCATGGTGACCCCATGGCAGCGTGGAACTACCCCATAGGGTCTCCCAGGCTGTCATCCTTATGGGAGCAGGTCATCTGGTCTGTCTCCCATGAAGCTGCTGGGTGCATTCAAATGCCAGCTTTTAGTTGGCAGCCAAGTGCTTAACTGTTGTGCCACCATGGCTCCTTAGGCCTTCAGGGAAGGGAGAAAACTCACACCTGGCCCTTTGTGGAAGGAGTCTGCTTGTCCCTGCCTGGAGGCAGGCCCACCCCAGGGGGTGGGGGCCTTACGCCAGCAGGCCACCCTCTGCACCCCATCTCACCTGAGGAGGCTGGATGAGCTGCCCGAGTGTGACCGGTCACACTCCCGGCTGGCAGCGATGGCCTTCCATGTCTTCCCGCTGAGTTCGCTGGGAGTGACGCCCTGCCGGAAGTATATGGCCCGGTCCTCACAGGAGATGCCCCAGACCTGGAACAGAGAGGCCCATGGGGTCAGGGGCTGGTGCCCACAGGGCTCCCTCTCCCCATGGGAGGACACACATGCAGCCGTGGGCAGGTATCCCCCCAGCTATGCAGTGGTGTGTGCGCAAGCACATTAGGGCTGAGGGTCACCTGAGGGGGGACGTGGGACAGTGTGGAAGTCGAATGCAGGAAGGGAAGCCCACAGAGGGACCAGACCGGGGGGAGCAGGGACCAAGCCGTCCTGGCCTCTGGCCTCAGAAGGACTCAGGGTTTTGGGGTAACAGGATGTGGGGGTGATTGCTGATGGATGCTGTGACTCAGAGTCCACTGTCACCACACCTTCCACATAGTGTCTGGGGGGAGGCTCACCCCCAGGGGAACCCAGAAGGGAGCCTGGTCTTTTTTAAGGTTACGTAAAGTGACCTCCTTAATCCTGAGCCCATTCTCTATAGCAGGTGTGGCCAGCAGGCAGTTTCCTTTTTCTGTTGTGCTAAGTATAGAGGTCCAGGAGCATTTTCACTCCCTCTACACGGCCGTCAATGACACGCTCGTCATGTTGTTCAGCCACCTCCATTAACCGCTCCTAAACTTCTCCATCACCGGATAGAGGCTGTGTCCCCTAAGTGCTATGTCTTCCTTTCCACTCCCTCCCACCTACTCCTGGACCACTAATAAGCTCTGGTCTCTGTACACATCCCATTTGGCATCTTAGCCCCTGCCCTTGGGGGCTGATGAACGCAGCTGTGCTGGGCAGCTGGTGGGCCAAGGACAGGTGGGCTGAGAGCAGCTCCTGCCCGGCCCCTCGCCTGCCCGGCCCGGGCAAGCAGGGGTCCCAGGGGCCCTGCTGGAGGCAGCATCAGCTCTTCCACTTAGTGGGGGCAGGTGGGCTCCACACTCAAGCTGTCATGTCCTCAGGCTCAGTCTCTGGGCTCGCTGCCAGGGTCTTTTGGCCTGGGTTGCCAGGGCAGACAGGAGGAGGGTGTGGGGGCACAGGAAAGACCAGCAGCGCCCCTGGGGAGAGCCTGCAGTCCAGTGCAGTGGGGGAGGGGTCCCCTTCACCTCAAGGGGCTACCATGGACCCGGTGCTCACTGCAGTGTTGTCCACGGCAGCCCAGGGGTAGACCCAACCCAGGGGGCCACCAACGGATAAGTGGAAACACAAGATACAGTGGATACCTCAGTGGGTATAACTTGGCCAGAAAGAGAGACGACATCCTGGGACATGCTGTCCCAGGATGAACCCTGTAACAGGATGCTGAGGCAACGCTACGCTGACCCAGAACAAACACCCCACATCGCTGAGGCACCTGGAACACGCAGCTGCACAGGGACAAAGTAGCTGAGAGATGCCCAGGCTGGTGGGAGGGGACAGGAAGACTGCTGAACGGGACAGAATCTGTTTGGGGTGATGGGAAAATTCGGAAATGGATAGCGGAGGCGTTTGCACACCATACCATTGGACAGTGCAAGCGAATATGGTTACAATGGTGACTTTTTAATATATATTTTACCGCAATAAAATTAAAACAAAACCCTCTGGGCACAGTTCTACTCTGACGTGTCAGGCCGCATGAATCCGCACCGACCCAGCAGCAACGGGGTTCTTTTCAGTTACTAATCTTTTTTTTGGTTGGAACAGTGTTTGTGTCTGTTCGAGGTGCAGACCATTGGGAGTGGCCCCCAGGCAAGCCCACTTGTTTCATTTACTCTGCTGTGGTTAACTGCTGGTACACTGGCCCCAGGGACTGGTGACAACAATGGTAAGACCATAAAAAACCAAAGCAAACCCAGGGCCATCAAGTCAGTTCGGGACTCCCAGTGATCCCCATTGGGTTTCCAAGGCAGTAAATCTTTATGGAATTAGAGTGGCCCATCTTCCTTCTGGTTAGCAGTCAGATGCCTTAGGCACTGCCACCAGAGCTTCTTTTCAGTAACAACTATAACAATAAAGTGATAAAGATCAGGCAATTTACTGTAGAGATACTGCCTCGGAAGGAGGGGTCACTGAGTTGAATCAACTGGATGACAGTGAGTTTTTATTGTATATATATATATATATACATATATATATATACACACACACATGCACACCCATACATATATATATATATGTATACACACACACACACACACACATATATAGTAATAAAAGGGAGCTCTGGTGGCACAGTGTCTAAGGCATTTGACTGCTAACCAGAAGGCTGGCAGTTCAAACCCACCAGCCGGCCACTCTGTGGAAGCAACACTGGGCAATCTACTTCTGTAGAGACACTGCCTCAGAAGGGGGTCTCTATGAGTCGGAATCGACTCAATGGCAATGAGTTTTTTTAAAGTAATAAATATCTGCTGAGTGACGCCTATGTGCCAGGGTAAAAAAAAAAAAAAAGGTGGCCACCCACTTGGAGTCGTAACAGCCCCCAAGCTTCCTCATCCATGAGGAGGGACACGGCACAGAGGATGTGGCATAGTGGAGGCTGTACAGAGGATGCAGCACAGAGGAGGCTGTGGCACAAAGGACACGGCACAGAGGAGACCACACAGAGGCTGCGAGAACCTGCATGTGTGAAGATCGGCTGACCCCATGCTGGAATGGGGGACCCAGCCCCACTGATTTCACCCACGTGTTTCTTGATGGAGCCCTTCTAGTGCCCGGGTGTGTGTCCCCCCAGATCTGTGCTCACCCCACTGTTCTGAGGATGGTCAGGCCTTTAGGAAAGCGACTCAGGACAAGTGAGGCTCTGGATCCCAGCAGCATAGGCCCTGGGCACCCTCACAGGCTGTGAAGAGTGCAGGGGCACACGGCAGCAGTCCTGAGGTGGGCTGTGGGAAGCCTGCCCATAGCACAGCCTGACTCTCTGTACCAGGAGTCCGCACTCTGAAACCCTGTGCTCACGGGATGCTGCCCAAGCCCTAGAGCGCGAGCTCAGAGAACCGCCCTGCACACCTGGGGGCCGACCCTGAGAACCCGGAGCACTGTTCCTATGCACCTGGGGGCTGACCCTGAGAACCCGGAGCACTGTTCCTATGCACCTGGGGGCTGACCCTGGGAGCCACGCGTCCTACACACCTGGTCACTGAGCCCCACGTTCACCATCACCATTTCTCCAACCATCTCAATCCAGCTGGTGCCACAGGGATTGTGTGAGTTGACACCTCTCCGGAACCACACCTGGGAGAATCAGAAATAAACAGCCTTCTTGGAGCACCATGGAAAGAAAAGGGTTTTTCTAAGCTCAGGGAGAATAAGTGAGTAATCTGAATCTTTTGTTCACATGACAGCCCCCTCCTGTCCTGACAGTGTCCCATGGGGCTGAGGAGGTCACCTGCCCTCAGCCTCATCAGTGCTGGTGGCTCCTGGTCCATTCTCTGGCTGAAGGCAGCATTACACTCCAGTAGGCAAGCAACTGCCTGGATCTCCCTAGAACCTTCTCCCCACCAGAGACTCTGGGGGGCCTCTCACCTATCTTCCTATGACCAGGGTGTCACTGCAGGGACTGAACCAGAGAAGGACTTGTCTGTGGACAGTGCCAGGAGGAGCACCAGCTAGACCTGCAATTTGCTGACCCTGACCCCCTGACCCCCTGACCCTAACTAGCTAGACCTGGAACCTGCTCACCCTGACCTTGACCCTAACCCTAACTAGCTAGACCTGGAACCTGCTAACCCTGACCCTAACTGTAACCCTAACCAATTAGACCTGGAATCTGCTAACCCTGACCTTAACCCTAACCATAACCCTAACCAACTAGGCCTGGAACCTACTAACCCTGACTCAAACCCTAACCAGCCAGACCTAGAATCTGTGAACCCTGATGGTGACCCTGACCCTAACTCTAACCCTAACCCACTAGACCTGCAATCTGCTAATCCTGACCCTACCCTAACTCTGACCCTAGCTCTAACCCTAAAGCTATCCCTAATAGTAAACCCTAACCCTGGTTCTAACACTAACCCCCTAACTCTAATCCTAGCCCTAAACTCTAACTCTAAACCCTAACCCTGTCCTTATATCCTAATTCTGACCCTGACCCCACCCCCAGCTGATGCTGACCTTGACCTGGGACATCCTGCCCACAGCCACCTAGGAGCTGGGTTTCCCTTCTCAGTCCCTCGCCTTCTCTCATGTGTAGCTTGCAAAAAGGCCACCTTACTGGGTCGCATTTTCCCATGTGAGTGAGGAGGTCCTCTCCGACGTTCTTGGGAACACGGTACTCTGGACTCACAGTCAGCACTGACAGCGCTCAGAGTCTGGTCCCAGTGCTTTGGGGGTGGCTGTGTGAGGCCGCACTTTCTTTTTAAAGATACACACGATCCCGCCACGTTTTCGCGGGTTTACATGTGGCCCTGACTCACCTGGCTGAAGACCCTCCAGCCTTGCCCTGCTGCTCCCCAGGGACCGTCCTTGCCTAGTCCCTTCCCACTGGGGTCCCCGGGCTGTGAGTGTCATTCACAGAAGCTGGATCAATGAGAGAACCCTCCAGCTCCTGCCGTCAGAACGCCTGAGCCAACTGCACCCGTTGCTCCCGGACCAGACCGAGCACCTGCAAACGCTCCTCTGAAGGCTGAGCAGCCTGGGCATACAGTGCGAGTGTTTGCTCGTTTCACCCTAAGGGGGCAGCACATTCTCCAAGACGGGGCTTGGAAGTCATGGCCTTGGGCAGTGGGATGCTCAGGGATTCAAGGAGAACAGTCCCCTGGTCCATCTTTGGGTGGGGGGGTGGCCCGAGGCCTCGGGACCTGCAGCACTGGAGAAGCCGGTGTGAATGTGGGTACAGGGCAGTCCCCTGACACGCGACTGGAAAGAAGTGCTCTGCGGCATCTGAAGTCCCCTTATTCTCGTGCCTCACCTCATACAATTAAAGCAAAAATGGTAAGCCCTGCACGGGAGCCAGGAGGGACGTCCGACTGATCGAGGGTCTCAGTAAATTAAACCCACTCCCACTGAGCTGGTTCCGACTCTTAGCAACCCCACGTGTCTCAGCAGAACTGTGTCCCACAGGGTCTTCCACGGCTGATTTTTCTTAAGTAAATTGCCAGGCATTTCTTGCAAAGCACCTGAGGGTGGGCTGTGGTCTCCCACCTTTTGGTTAGCAGCCGTGTGCCTAACTGTTTGCACTGCCCAGGACTCCTTCAGTAAGTTAGCTTCTGGTTGTTTGAAGTGTTAAGGTAATATTACTATCAGTACAGAGGTTTTGCATTTGACATGGGCTGGGGGCGAGGAAGCATTCTGTAGGTACCCGACACCCTGGCAACCCCCAACCATTGTGACAACAGAAAATGCACATTGCTTGATTTGTTCTAGTGGGTTTTGTTCTGATGGGCTTATGCCACGCTCTGGAGAACAAAGAAATACAACCATCCATGTGGAGCGCAGCAGCTCTGGTGGTGCAGTGGTTTAGCACTTGGCTGCTAACCAAGAGACAGGCAGTTTGACCCCACCCAATGGCTCGGGGAAGAAGAGCTGGTGATCTGCTCCCACAAATACTGTCGTTATCAGGTGTCGTTGGGTCGGTTCCGGCTCACAGCATCCCCATGTACGACAAAACGGGACAGTGCCCGGTCCTGAGCCATCCTCACAGTCCTTGCTGTTTCAGCCCACTGTTGCAGCCAGCGTCAGTCCACGTCGGTAAGGTGTTCCTTCTCTCACCGACCCTCTACCTGACCGAGCATGCTATCCTTCTCCAGGGACCAGTCCCTCCTGAAAACATGACCAAAGTATGAGAGGCTAAGTCTCACCTTGCTCATTTCTGAGGAACACTGACTGTGCTTAATCTAAATACAGTTAATATAATCTGTATTTGTTCATTCTTCTCACAGTCCGTGGTGTATTCAATATTATTCACCAGCACCACAATTCAGATGTGTCAATTTTTCTTCGGTTTTCTTTATTCTTTGTCCAGCTTTCACAAGCACATGAGGTGACTGAAAATACCACAGCTCAGGTCAGGTGCACATGAGTCTTCAAAGTGACATCTTTGCTCTTCAACACTTTATAAAGAGGTTTTTTGCAGCAAATTAACCCACTGCAATACGTTTGATTCCTTGACTGCTGCTTCCATAAGCATTGATTGTGGATCCAAGTAAAATGAAATCCTTGACAAAGTCAATCTTCATTTATCATGATGTTCCTTATTGGTCCAGTTGTGAGGATTTTTGTTCCCTTTATGTTGAGGTATAACCTGTACTGACAGCTGCAGTCTTTGATCTTCATCAGTAAGAGCTTCAAGTCTCCTTCACTGTCAGCAAGCAGGTTGTGTCATCTGCACGTCTCAGCTTGTTAATGAGCTTTTCCCTCCAATCCTGATGCCACGTTCTTCTTCATATAGTCTAGCTTCTTGGATTATTTGCTGACAGTACAGATTGAATAAGTATGATGAAAGGATACGACTCTGACACACATCTTCCCTGATTTTAAACCACGCAGTGTCCTTAAAAATCACAGCAGAGGAAACGCTACGGGGCAGTTCTACTCTCACACGGGGTTGCTAGGAGTCAGAATGGACTCTACGGCTGCACCACCATGTTAGAGTCCACCAGAACCAGTGCTGAGTAAAAACAATATGTTTGTAAAACTTCACCCAAACCACAATCAAAAGTTAAAAAAATAAAAAAAGGAAGAGTTAAGGCTGAGTGCCCCATTGTACCTTCTGGTCTTTGGTGATGGCCCAGACTACACTGACGCCCACTGAGATGTGTGTGATCCCATTTTCAGCCATGGGGGGTTCCACGATGGACCAGGAACTTCCTGCAGCCCAGAGGGAAACCAAGGCGCCTCCATTAGCTGGGAGGGCTGCAGCAGGCACCCCCCCCCCGTGTCTCCCAGCTCTGGGCACCCCCTCATTATCTCCAGCTCTGGGCACCTGCCCCCCTCCTCCGCATCTCCCAGCTCTGGCCCCTCCATGTCCCCCAGCTCTGGGGCATGGGATGCCCCAACACCCACCTTTGGGATCGTGCCTGCTAATGCCTTCCCGAACCAGGGCCTGCCCCTCCCAGAGCGTGGCCCACAGGAGATCGTGGGGTCCACAGCTGATCTGGACCACCTCGCCTGGGGTGTCCACAAGGGACCACGAGGAGCCCTCAGGGTTAGGGTGGCTGACGTCCTCTCTGTACCACACCTGGAGGGAGAGAAACCACAGGCGGCCCGGGCTGGGTCAGGGGGCCAGAGGGCAGCTTGCCCTGGCTGCAGGGGAAGAGAGGCAGTATTTGCATCTGTCCACACATGGCCGAGCTTGAGGTCCTTCTGGAGAACAAGGACATGCATCCTCACTGCACAGATCTCCCCTGACCTCACTGTCACTGGGATCACTGTGCCGCGTTAGATGACACCAGGACGAAAGAATGCAAACCAAGGACTTTGGCTTCCTCGGGGTTAGGCCGGGAGTCCCTGGGTAGTGCCAATGGTTAAGCACTCTCCAAGCAGCTGAAAGGTCAGCAGTTCAAACCCACTCAGAGGCCACTCAGAAGACAGGCCTGGCAGTCTGCTTACAAAGGTCACAGCCTTGAAAACTCCGTGGACCAGTTCTGCTCTGTACACATGGGGCCGCCAGGAGTTGGAGTCGACTTCACCGAACCGAGACCAACATAGGCCTGGTGAGCCCCTCACTGGCGTGGTGGGCGCCCCAGGTGAATTCCAGCCACCTGCTGTTGCCCAGTAGCCATGCACCCCCTAGTGGTGAAGTGTGCTCATGACGCCTGTTTGTAGGGGAAAGTGGTCTGGGAAGGTTCAATGAGAAAGCCTCAAAACCCCTTTCTGAAAAATGTCTAAAACGCCCACTTTCTTTTCTCCTTCATCCATTAAATACTTGAAGAAAGTGACCACCATCAAATGACTGTCTGAAGACGAGCAACCTGCTCATGTTGTGCACGCTACTTTATGCCTTTTGGGCTCAGCAGCTGGGTCCCCAGGGCTGGCAAGTCCCTCTGGAGAGCTGTCTTCAAACAACTTGCCACCACCCCTAGAACCAACACCGCAGAGCAGGCCTGGGATGCCCTTCGCTCTCTGGTAGATTTGGGACCCATCTGTCTCCGGACACCTCCCAGAGCACAGGGTCCCCGCATGTCAACAGGTGTGGCCCAGGGCAGGGCTGGTCCCAGCAGGCACATGCTGAGTGCAAACACGGCTTTCTTTGTCCCTCCCTGAAGTGCGCTGTCCCTGGCCAGCAGCCCACACTCTTTGCCTGGCCCCTGCCCACCACCCTTCCGCCAGGATGAAGATGGGGGTGTGGTTTAAACTAAGCCCAGGTCATACACGAACCCAGGGGGTAAGCCTGCTAAGAAACCTGTCTTGACTATTCCAGAGCCAAGCTGCTGGATTCTAGTCTGTCCTAACAAGCTACTGAATCATCACACCTCACCCACTGCTTCGGAAGGAAGACTGAGCAATCTACTTCCGTAGAGATACGGCCTCAACCCAAGGAGGGGTTGCTATAAGTCAGAATCGACTCCGTGGCAGTGAGTTGTTTTTTTTAACCCACTGCTATCAAGTCGGTTCCGACTCACAGAGACTGTAAGACAGAGTAGAATAGGGTTCCTAGGGCTGTCAATCTTTATGGAAGCATTTCACCTCATTCTCTTATGGTTAGTGGGTTTGAACTGCTGACCTTTTGGTTAGCAGCCAAATACTTTAATCACTGTGTTATCATAGCTACTGAATAATCACACAGTACCTAAATAATCCCATAGATCTAAAACCATGAACAAAGTACATGTGGGTCACCCGTGACTTGGGGCCATCTGTGTCACTGCTGCCTTCAGAGCTTGGTTTTCAGGGCAGGTCTTTGCTTAGTTCACAAGCTCCCTGAAGGCAGGATCTTCTCTCCTTTCTAAATACCCATCTACTCACCCATCTAACCAGCTGTCCATCCATCCATCCACCCACCCAACTATCCATCCACCCAGCCAGCCAGCCATTCCCCAATCTACCCAACCATAAACCCACCCACCCATCCATCCACCAATCCACCTAACCATCCACCCAGCCATCCGGCCATCCACCCACCCAGCTATCCATCCACTCACCCATCCAGCCATTCATCCACCAATCCACCCAACCATAACCCACCCATCCAGCTATCCAGCAATCCACCCAACCATATACCCACCCACCTATCCATCCCCCAACCCACCTAACCATACACTCACCCAGCTATCCATCCATCCACCCGCCCATCCATCCATCTATCCATCCACCAGTCTACCCAAGCATACACCATTCTCATCCAGCCATACACCCACCCAGCCATACACCCACCGAGCTATCCACCCATCAATACGGGTACCTATCCATCTGTCCACCCACCCACCCGTCTTCCTGCCCAACCATCTACTCATCTGTCCTCACTGCTATTGGAGACCTGCTGTGTGGGAGGCACCAAGGGCGCTCCCAGGGAGCACAGAGTCCATCTGAGGACAGTATTGGTGGCATCTGAGCACAGGGTGGGGCACAGAGGCTCGGAGGAGGGGCAGACCAGCACCAGGTGAAGGGTCAACGTCAGGGGCTCCTTGGAGGGGTGGGGCGCAGCAAGCCCGCAGGACAGGAGGGCTCAGAGGAGGGGAGTGTGGCTTGTTCTGCTTTTGGGAGCCGGGAGCTGTGCCACCTACAGTTAGTGGAGGGCCAGCCTGCTCAGGGAAGCCCAGCTCCGGGAGTAGGAGGCCAGGCGAGAGCCTCTGGGGCAGCCCCTCCTTCCCCCACTCCGGCCCCACGCCAGCCGCCTCCTGTCCAAGGTCAGCCTTACCTTTCCCTGCAGAGACACTGCCCACACTGACAGGCGGCCCACCGGCTCATCTGTGATCTCCCACCCGCCCACGGACAGGTCGTTAAAGGGGTCAGGCAGCTGCTTGGGGTCATCCTTCGAAGGGATCTGAGCCAAGGAGGGAAGGGGCAGCGGCAGTCAGAACCTGTGCTGGGTGTCCCCACCTTCCTGTCCTGGAGGCACCTGGACCACTCACTCTCCAGCCCATGATACTGCCTTCCACCCCCAGCCTCGTCCCACAAATCCCTGCCTTTCCAGTTGCCTCTGATGGCTGAGGAAGCAGCACCAGTGCAGGGCTCCCGGCCGCTGTCCCCCTGCCCTGGCCTGCTGCCAGCCACCGTGCTGGAGGGCAGACACACACTCGAGACTCTGGCTGCGTGCCCTGCGTGACCTGACCACCGTGAACCCTGTCGCCCCAGCCATCTACCCACTGGGGCGGGAGCCTGGGTGGGTGCTCACGGGGCAGGGCTGGGGCGGAAGCCTGGGTGGGTGCTCACGGGGCAGGGCTGGAAGCCTCACTTCACAGGTGGGACCCTCAGAGGTCTCCTGCGTGCCCGAGGCCCCGCTCTCCTTTGAGAGCGGAACAGGAGTCCAGGCCTCTTGGCCCTAAGTTTGGGATTTTTCTGGGTCACTGGAACAACTCAAGAGCCAGATGCAGCTCCCGTGGGGGTGGGTGGGAGTGGGGGTCGAAGTGCTCAGACTGAAGGGCCCCAGTAGGGACGACACCCTGACACTCAGCTCAGGTCAGCCTGCTGTCCTGGGGCTTCCTGTCAAACAAAGGGAGACGCAGCAGCATGGGGGCCGCGACAGGAGAGCAGCTCGGAGGCCTGCAGGAGGTTGGGCCTGGAGGACCCCGGGCGTAGGCGGGGAGGGGGCTTCTGCGGGGACCTTCTATCAGTGGACCCCTGGCCCTGAGGGGAAGAGCTCCCTGGAAGATTTCTGTTGATCCTCTCAGCACCGTCCCACTCCCAGGACCCCCCCACTCCCCCCTACTCCCCCAGGCCCTCCTTCCCTACACCCTGCCCCCACCCCAGCCGCGGAGACCTTGGCCCTGTTGATCCTCTCAGCTCCATCCCACTCCCAGGACCCACTCTCCCCCCGCCCCCCAGCCGCGGAGACCTTGGCCCAAGAATCTCGGGACTTGTATCTCCTGTACCGGATCCACCTCCGCCGCCGCACACAGGAGTTCCACTTCTTGTCCCTGGTGTAGGTGGCAGGGAAGTCGATGGCATATGTCCACCCCTGGAACATCACAGGAGGCTCTGTAAGCTGAGT